TAAAAAATATATATAATATTATTTTAACTTTTATAAATAAATACTTATTCTTATTATATTATATTACTTCCTAGTTATACAAAATATATATAACATCTAGACAGTAGATTTATACTTCTATATAGTATCTAGGACTAGTAGCTATAAGGTAAAGCTAAGCCAGCCTGTAGATAGAATAAGATAGGATCATGTAGCATAGCATAAGAATAAGATTAATCTTCAGAGCCCGTATGATCCCAGTCTACCTTACTATACGCGTGATAAGATGATGAAGGCGCATTGCCAGATTCTTTGTTGCTGCAGAGTTGCTACAAAGTTGGTGCGGAGTTAATACGGAGTTCAAAATTTTGATGGGTCCTCAACCCAATAATAGTCCGCCGTACCCATGTCATTCTTCGAAATGGAAGCTAACGTGATGAATCTTTGACTCGGCGTTGGAAGTCAATTGCCTTCCCACATGCTCGGTTCTTAGGAACAGTCGAAGACAAAGACTTAGTACCATGTAAATAATCCTATACAGTTATCTTGATGATCTAGCTTTCCTGTACCTGCTCCCACTTCAGGATCAAGCCCTGCTGCGGTACGATCCTATCAGGATATTCTGTCTGCCAGGGTCATGTCCACTATCCCCGTCCTCCTCAATAATAAAGCGTTGACCAGCGTCTAACCAAGGCTTCAAAACTGGTTGTGCAATGACGTCTTGATAGACCCAGGAATCACACGCCCAAGACAGGAGCTCCCAAAACAGGGCCCCCTAAAAAACAGGAACCGCTGAAGAACAGGATCCCAAAAACAGGACCTCCCCAAAAACAAGACCTCCCCAAAAACGGGAGTCCCCGAGAAAGCAACCCTCTTTCCTGCCTCTTTCTAGTTAGGAAGTGAGAGAAATAACTACCTCCAGAGAGCCACCTCCAGTTGGAAAAGAGGAGTCATTTTTTTTCCTCTTCTAGTATTGTTCTCGCTAATAGAAGTCGTGAGGACGAGCTAAGGAGGACGAAACGTGAAGCTGAGAACAGTGAACTAACGGATATTGAAAAAATGAGTGAAGATAAAGAACTTGTTACAGTTTTTGGGATCGAGGTGGAGATAGAGACTGTATTTCTAGAGACTTTCCCTGGAGATGAGATTGAACAGATTTATTCCTAATCCGCCAATTTCTTTGATAATTCTGTGAAGACCGTCTTCCGGACAGACTGACACAACAGTTTGGATATCGCTGACTGCAAATTCATCAATTTCCCCACGTAGTGACATTCAGAGGTGCGACTAATTCAAGCTAGCAACTGGTCCCTGGTGGGTTAGAATGAGAAGACCTTACCGGCCCAATAATGGTTTGCCAGGTTCAGTAAAAGGTTGTAACAGGACGAGGCGGGCAAGAACACAAAAACAGGTGCCAGAGCAAGAACACCTACTAATGTAAAATGTCACTCTTGTATCTAACTATTTGGGCTCTTATATTATGAGCCCCTGAGGCGCCTAATTAATAAAATCTTACTTAATAAGACATTACGCTTTTGAGTTATTTAAAGTTAATCATTATAAAAAAGTGTTCAGTTAGATCAAGTCTGTCTTATTGCTATAACTGACTTTTGTATATATTTATAAACTAAATTAGCAAGCCTTATTACTTGTGACTAGATTATATATTAATTATTTAGTAGATAATTCTTTCTGACTTTCTTACTAATTATTACTTAGATCTTTGTTTTCTTAAGAGTCAAAATTAGTGATTAATATTTTAGTATTAGATCTGCAAGTAAGCCTTAGTCTAGGCTCTTACAATAATTTATTAAATATTTTATTTCCATTTAAGTTAAGCTAGACTTACTTACTTTATAAAGTAATCAAGAAGGAAAACCTTAGCCTAGCACGATTATTATTATACGCCTCTAGTTCTGCTTTGCAAAAACTGGCCTTTTAAAACTATATATTTAGTGCAATTTTCTCAGAAGGCTTCAATTAAGCCAAGGAAAAGATTATATAATCTTAATAAAATGTCTTTACTTTGTTCTATATTTAGTTTTCTAATAAGTACTAAATGTCTTTATCTAGTACAAAGAGATTACATCTTTAGGTCTAGCCATTATTATCTAATCCTAGCTTAGTCTTTACATTATTAGCGGTAAGTCGCTAAGGTGCCATGTCATTTAGAATCCTGTAAGAATATAGAAGCGGTCGATATTAGTGGCATCTATAGCTAGGATTTGAATTTTCATCACAGTATAATAGGGTGGTTCTATCAAGCTAGGGTCGGGTATTTCCCGTAACTAATTATCGAAGCACACTCCGGGGTGATAGCATGTCGGGCTTATCAGATAAACGGGGATAAGCTGAAATGTCGGGCTTATCGGAAAAAACGGGATAAAATGTAATGTCGGATGCAACTGGTACTTCCCCTCTTCTGACACTAACTATTACGTACTAAGGTTACGTGGCGTTAGTGAACTTACCAGCCGATGAACAAAGTACTCTTACTATTTGTCCAACAAGACGTTCGTGGCAATACCGGAACTACCCAAATTGCGTCTAAGCGCTTTCAGCTTTCGTCGATACACATTACAATCTTAATAAAAATGAGGTCTTCCGCTTCCCCACCCTGCTGGCCCGAGGGCGTGGCCAACTCTGACCCGGACTATGCAGCAATGCCACAAAGCTTTCTGGCTAGGGAGTGAGAGCCACCTCCAATTGGAAAGGTGAGACGTGTCATTACACACTAATTTTGATGTTAGTTTCTCAAAGAACCAATTAAAAGGACACATCCGAAATTAAATGCATTCTTGCTGAATGATTCCTCCCTTAGTGCCTAGATGACCTTTGCTGCTATGTCGCCAGGACCGACGAGGGCTAGTAATGGTGTAGGGAGGAGTTTCATAGAATAAGACAGAAAATTTTATTTAACATCTGACTCCTATTGCTTCTGAGATATCACTTCTTTGCAACAGAGGTATTTGTTTCTGGCAGAAGTAATCTTATGTTGTTTTCCGTGTGCAAGATTCACAGGATTGAGCAGCCCCACATCTCAGAAGTCAGCTAATTTCTGACGCTTTAAGATGCCGCTTTGAATGTAAGTGGTTTATTAGGGCCTATTTATGATCCCCCGTACTCAAGTCTAGTCTTTGTACTACAGTACCACGTCAAAAGTATTGGATCGACGCGCACTTTTTTTCTAACACGCGTTTTTTACTACCTTTTTCAACCAACCTCCATGAATCAACGCAGGGCTTTGGCGCCTCTAGAAATCAATAGGAGCTATGGCAAGGAGCTATCTCCATTTCAACGCGGTCAGATTTCAGCTTATAAGGCTGTGGGGCTGTCAAATGCAGAAATTAGCGAAAAAGTTACTTGCGGCAAATCCACTGTTTTCAACACCCTCGTACGAAATCCACTCCGCAACGAAGGCAATAGCTTGCCGCAGTCTGGTAGACCCCCTATATTAAATCGCGTTCAAAAACGAAATATTCTACGCATTATTCGAGCCAATCTAATAATTACTTATACAGCTCTTCGACTTGCCCTTAGGGTACCTGTTTCAAAAAGCACCCTTTATCAAATACTCAAAGACGAGGGCATTACTAATTAGCTTGCCAAAAAAAGACTTCTTTTAACTCCTGAAGTAGTCGCTAAGCACCTTACTTGGTATTTAGAACGAAAAAATTAGACGTGAGATGACTGGCGCAAGATCATATTCAGTGATGAATGTTCTCTTGAAAGAGGCTCTGGGGCCCGGCGAGTTTGGAACTTTCGTACGCCACAACAAAAGT